GCAATGGGAAAGGGGTGATCCTGCTTCCCTAACTGAGGGATGTAGGCTTTAAGATCTTAGGATGTAGTGACAGGGAGATTTTTTTATGCTGCATCTTTTCTTAAGTACTCAAAAGAAGCATCTGTTAGACCCATTGAGGATACAGGCATGCTCCAGAGCTCTGCCTCAGAGTGGGAAGAGCTGGCACAACTTTCTTTGGGAGGCACTACATAAAACAGTGTTCTCCCACCGGGACTTGTTTGGGTTTTCAGTTCTTGCCTCCAGAGGATCTTCCTGCTGCTGTGTCCCCCCGTTTCAAATCCTCAAAGCAGTTTCATAGCTATCCTTGTTTTCCTTCTTTCTGCTGATCTCTCCTGAAGATTTATCTGATAAAGTTAGTAGTTCTTGTACAATACATCCCAGAAAGTTTCAGTGATACAATTAGGTTATACACTGCATGGAGCAACAATTAGATTCCCTACACATTCTGTATTCGTATTAAAAGAAACTACAGCACTATCATTTTCCTCCCTTCCTCCCCTCTCCCTCTCTGCCACCCCCCCCTTTTTTTTTTTTTTTAATTACCTTCCAGATCAGCTCAAATCCCTCTAATGATTTCAGTAGACTCTGGAACAAACTCAAACAGAGTATAGACAGAGTCTTGGTGCTGTTGAATTCAATGGCAATATTCCTGTTGGACTGAAGTTTGGACCATACAAAATACACCTTTTGATGAAAGGGAACAAACAATTCAAAGCCTCCTGGGACTAATGAAAATCTGTCAATTGCTGTCAGCTAGATTTGTATCAGTGTGAGATAAAATAATACATATTTGGGTAAGACAGAAGCAAAATTCCTTCAAATGTAGTGTGAAAGCAGTTATGTCTCTAGTAGTAGAGCAATTTTCACCACATAATGAAAATTAATGCTTAAAAAATTATTACCCCTGTAGAGGTGACATTATGGACTGTGTCAACTTTTGAGATGTGGTCATTTTGAAAGCCAACAACCTTGATAATGTCCTTTGGAGATTATTGTTTATTAATAGTGTACATTAGGAATCAAGCAATCATAGAGAGTGCAATTAAGCGCATAATCACAGATATTTTTGACATCTGTCTACTTAGAGGTTCCATGGCATTTTTTTTGCATCTCCCCCCCTGCAGCCTAGTGTCTTCAATTAATTTATCATGACCATCTGTGTTGTAATTTTTGCTGCTCGGCTTGCCTTTCTACATCTGTTTTTTGGCTGAATATTTTGTGACACTTCATCATATTCACTCATAACTCTAAAAATACGGAACTAATATTTGCTCAGTGAACTTGCTCAGTTAAGATAATCAGCATTAAACAGACCACTATGCTTCTGTTAAATGACTCTTTCTAATGGCGAACAGAAAGGCAAGAAGGAAGCAACGTTTTAAAACCTGTGCATCAGGTTTTCTGATGCTGCGTACCTCTGATGCACAGAGGTAAAATCATCAGTGGTTCTGCCAGCTACTGTGGTGCACGCTTTGAATCCCCAGCTTACAGGATGTTTTAGAGAGAAGGGGATATGTTATGGCTGGAAGGTTATTTGGTTATTGTGCACTGTATAGTCTCCATGAGTACAAGTGTTTTTGAGGGTCGTAGCTAACTACACTCACTGCATCGGGGCTAAGAATGCTCTGAAGTACCCAAGGATCAGTGTACACCCATCCTCCCTTCACTGATTACAGTATATCACAAGGAATAAGCAGTTAAAGCTCACTGTGCTGAGTGGGCAATGCATGCAGCAAAGAAGAAACATTTGTAGGTTTTTACTTCCCAGTGCCACTGCAGTCAGGGGTATAGTGCTCGTAGTAGGTTATTCATTCCACCTCCCCACAGTGAAGTAAACATTTTCTATTGTTTTCCTAGAGTTCTTTGAAATGTTTAGCTTGGGAGCCTATCCACAATAAATATTTGGCCATGATACAAATCTTTTACCTGAAGTCACTGCTTCTGCCTTATTTTCTTTCCTTAAATTTCTTTCTTTACTCTAGTTAATACTAATTTTAAGCAGTCTTTTTCCACCCCTGGCACTGTAGCACCCTGTGATTCTGTTTTCTGTGGCTTCAGGATCACTAGGTTTTAGTAAACCATAGCAACTGTCATCTTTTCCTAAAAGAGCGAAAGAGAGCAAAAAAACAACATCAGAGTCTACTCAGATACAGTAACAGGCCTGTCACTCAGGAGCTTGTATAAGGTGACAGGAGAAAGGTTGTTCACTTTAGCAAGAGCTATCCTTGCAATAACATTATGGTATGTTTATCCAAGACAAAAGTCTCCTTGATGAACTACAAGCCTCTCTGCAACAGTCCTATCTAACAGGTTTTCCTGAGAAAGACCTGTATACCGTATTTTTCATCTAGCTGTGCCCTGGAATACAATATCCAAGTACCTACCTCATTTACTGACCTAGGATACTATTTTCTGAGTTGAATTTTTTAACCTTCTGAATCGGTGGTCCCTGACGGCATACCTCTGAGGTGAGGTCACACTCTGCAGCAGCTGAGTTCTCAAATCCAAGTATTTAAGCTTTGCTGGGCACAGCCCCATGCTGATGACCTAGCAATAGCACGTGGAGGGAGGAAGGGGCAGCCTCACAGTGAGCGGGGAGAGGAAGAGGCATTTGCTAGAAAAGACCTGGTAACGTTGCCAGTTTTTCTCAAATGAGCCTCAGCTACAAAAAGGCTGGGGACTGCTGCTAAAGACTGAATGAACTTTCTCTTTTTGGCTCATAGTGTGCTTCTGTGTGGGTGGGATGACTGGATTTGAAGTAAACAGCAGGAAGAGGATCTTCCCAGTGAATGAAAAACTGCTTTGCTGAGGAAAAACAAGCACTACAAAAATATGACAAACAGGTCTGTAAGTGGCACTTTCCTAAGCAAGGTTTTAAGCCTCTGAAAAAGGCATCAATTCTTCTGTGAACCCCATTATATTCAGTGGCACATTTCACCAACTTAGCCAAAAAACAGCAGGCCCAATGTAACCCTACAACATTATATTTGATTTTTGTTGGTGATTAAGTGACATTATTTGCTTGTGGTTGGACCCATGTAGAAGGCAGTGGCAGCATGATTGCTACCAATTGAAGAAGTCCATCTTTAATACCAGTGTCAGAGGCCTATGACTTAGACACTGAAATGTGAAGGCTCTGCAGCTAACGTCACAGGGGCTGCAGCTGCGGCACTAGTAATGTGCTCAGGTGAGGCAGGGCAGCATCTCATAAATCATGAAAAATGGCAGTCCCAAATAGATAATGCTACAAATTACAATATGGTGAAACTTGATTGTCAGGGTGAGCCCTGGAAAATGTACCGCTGAATAAAGCTTTACTCCATCTTTGTTACCAGCATGCTGCTACTAAGCAACTGATGATTTGACTGCTGACCGATCAGATAAGTCATATCAGTACAACAGTATAAGCATCCTTGGTTTCAAGTGCTAAATAAGGTATAGGAGCGATGAATGATTTTTCCATTGTGAGGTTTATATATGGGCAAAGAAATGCTCCTGAAGATATTCCCCCATCATCAGTGTCTCTGATTCATGGCAGGAATTTCCCAGGAATTCACTGCATTGAAAATATAAGAACTCATTTACCTGGTATCTAAGTATTTTCAAGATTTGTTCTGCATTAGACAGAGTTGGTGACTTCTGAAATAAATTTTAATGTATGAAAATATAAAGGTCTTTAGCAATCTAAGATAACTTTTAATTAAAAACTCAACAATCCCATGTTGAGCAGAGCATACTCAGAATATTATAAGCTGCTGCAAACTGGGCAGTATGCTGGGTTGGAGTTGAAGCTCAGGACAGACACATAATCCTCCACAAATAATTAGAGCAGAAAATGGTTCTAATCTCTTTGTTAGTCTGGTTGTGTTATTTGATCTAATAATAAACTAGACATTAAAAAAAACCACCCTCCTCATACATTTTAATTTAGACTGCACTGGGCATCTTTTAACTTGTAATTTTTTAGCTGTTTTGATTTATGCATGTACTGTACAGACACACATGGTCCAAAATGCCCTTGTCCTCTGGCTGTGTAAGTCCATCATAAACACCAAGGTGTCAGAATTTGGGCCCTTATTTATGAAAGCTTTTCAGCAGGGATTTGATTGAGTTTACACACATGCTTAGGTGTCACACGTCCTTGAGCAGTGTCACCAGTCTGTGTGCTTTCCTTCACCAAGGCCGTAGCTCCCTGACCCTCTGGCGCAGCTTGACGACCCTTGAATTTGGTGGGGATTTGGCCAGCGACACTGGGGCTGTTTCTGTGCATTTCTGCACTGCGGGAAGAGGCAGGCTGAGGAGCCGTGGGCTCACAGGGGTCCCTCCCACTGCGTGTGGCAGGGATGACGACTGTGGCCCCATCCCCTGACATGAGGTGCTACACGAGGTGCAGGGCCCTGCGCCCTCATGGCCTGTGGCCCCGGCTGATCGTCCGTCTCTTAGGTGATCTCCAGGCCAGTTTTCACTCCTTTTCACCTCACTGACCCCTTACTAAATACAGTTCTCCTCACTGACCTCTTACTATACACAGCCACTTCTCAGGATTTCCAAAATCAACACGCATCCCTCACCGCTCCAGTGCCCAGACCCCTTCTTGCAATGTGCTTGTTTCCCAGACGAAGTTCTACCCTCTGGCTCTACCTGCCCTTCACCTTCCCAACAGCACAGCTCTCCCTCCTCTTTGTCCTCTTCGCCTCCGCCATGTCCTTCCAGCGCCCAGGCGTACCCCTTGCCCTTCACCCCTCCACACCCGGTGAAACCTTTGTGACTGAAACCCCTTGGACAGCTGTAGCTACTATTGAAGGCCCTGGCGACAAAGAAATAGATTCATTTCCTACGCCGTTATTTATCAGCGCCGGCTTAATCTATGGAGGTGAAGCCCGGCGGCGGGTTGCCACCGCCCCGGGGCCCGGGCCGGGGCGCGGCGCCTCCGGGCCAAATCCGTTTAGAGTAGTCGCTATGGCAACAGCGGCTGCCTGCGGGGGGGGGGGGGCGCCGGGCGCGCCTCCGCCCGCCTGGAGCCGGCGGCAGCGGGCGGGCAGCGGCGGCTCCGCTCAACTTCGGCGTTGGGGCGGCGCTGCCCCGGCCGCTCGCCTCAGCGCCGGCGGGACGGCAGCGGGTGACCGCGGTAAGGAGGAGGGGACGCTGCTGTGGCCGCGGGGCGCCCGGCGGGACCGGGGTGGTGCCTAAACGGAGGGGAACCGCTGCGGCGCCCGGCCCTTGCCGCCAAGCGTCCCGCGTCGGGGGTTTCCCAGCGGCTGCCGGTTTGCCGCCGCTGTGGTGGTGGCTGCCCGGCCCGAGGGGCCGCCGTGAGGGAGCGGGGCGGCGGCGGCCGGTGGGGCGGTGGAGGCCCGGGGCGGAGGGGGCTGAACCAGCGGCCCCTCTGTAACGGCTTCGGGATGTCCGGGTGTTGTGAGTTGCGTTCGTTTCTTCAAAGCATCGGCGCCGCTGCAGATTACAAAACCCCACCAAGTTCTCGGGTTTTGGAGGGATTTTTAAACAAGTGACAAAGTCTGCCTAAGTCGAGAGGTGTCAGCTTTTTGGCGGGTAGCTGTGTCTGGTGGAGGTACCGGACCAAGCCCTAACAGCTCCAAAGCACTGCTCCAAGCCCAGCTGTTATCCCTCGTCACCAGGGCTAATCCATACCCCAATGTGGGTTTAAGCTTGCTATGCTAGTTTAGAGGGCTTGACTTCAAGCCACGTCCTCTTTCTGGTTCCCTCCTCGCTGGCTCGGGGTCCGTCTGTCCGCGCAAGCAGCCGGAGCGCTGCTGCCCGAGGTGAGGCGGGCCGGGGGGCAGGGAAGGGGGCCGGGGGGGCAGGGAAGGGGGCCGGGGGGCAGGGAAGGGGGCCGGGGTGCTCCGGCAGCTCTCCCGGGCTGGGCTCGGGCACAGCCCCGCCGCGCTGCCCGCCGGCGTGAGCACTGGCTATCTGGTTGTGTAAAGAACAGGCAGCCGAGGAGGAAAGCGTGGTTTACGCTGCATTAAATTTACGCCACTCTTGTTTAAAATCTCTCAGATTAGGCACCTGCCCTACTAAATGGGAGTCCGATGCTTAGTAACCCCAGCGTGATACTGCGAAGGTCAGTCAGGTAGCTTTGGAGTTATGGCGGTGTAACTGAGAACAGACTACTCTGTACATCTCTTAATGCCAACGCACTAATTCAAACCTGTCTCAAAGCAGCGCCCTTTGTTTATGGCTTGTATGGCTGCTGTCTGTGGAGGGGCTGTAGGTGGGTCGCACAGCTATCCCGGGAGGAAAAGCGTGAGCTTTCCCAGAGCTTGGCTGGTTGCTCCCTGTGCTGTATGTGATCTCTACAAAGAGAGGCTTAAGTTTTCAAACTGTAAATTTAGCATTCTTTTTGGTGCTAATTTTAAAACAATGTGTATTTTTAAGTAGCTCCTTTCACAAGGGCCACACTTTAACACTGGTCCTAGTTTTTCCAGTACAGGGAAAAAACACCCACATAGGCTAACGGTTCTGCAGTGAATTGAGACAGTGGGACTCTGGGGATCCCCAGTAAATATTTTTTCTGATAGATACTGTAACCAAGGTTCAGGACTGAATAGAAGTGTATAGGCGTCTGTTAAAATGCATTCTCACTTTCTGATGCAATGAGTTACTCCTGCTTTCACAGAAGAATCAGTCTTCAATCTGGATGGAGAATGCACGTCTCACCCATTTGCACAGCACTTAGTCTGGTCTATGCCACAATATATGAATAAAAAACCCAAACTTCAGTGGACCTGGCAACAGGTGAAATATGCTTTTGGGTCTGAGTTTCAAGGTCTTACTTCATATAATTCTAGAGATACAGGTATCTGCAGGGAATGGTAGTATTAGAAACTCCAGTTTGTGACATTACTGCTCCTTTAATAATGTTGTGTAGTTACAATGGCAGTTGAATAGAGAGAGATGAGCTGGGGATCTCTCTGAGCTTTAAGTTTGAAAGCCTTTTGTGTTGGAGCTTTCTACCAGATGCTATTGCTGCTTTATTGCAGCAATAGTTTTTTTGTGGTTTGAGTAGTTTTAATAACAGGAAAGCTATGTGTCTGTGTTACCTTCTGAACTCTCATTTAAATGGCTGAATGAATGGTGAAGAATACTTCCATGTCCCTCTGTCCTGACTGGAAACCTGGCTTTGTAGTCTACAGAGATCAAAGTAAGATATAGAATTGAAGCTGCGTTTGATTCACCACAGCAAGATCTGAGCAAAATATAGGTATTTTAATAACAAGATAGGCAAACAGAGCAATTGGTGTGTTTTAACTTCCTTGATTCAGGAGGTTTAGGTAACAGTCCAGTGTAATTGTATATGATAGAGTGGTTTTATGGTTGCTATTAGAAAATATTGTTTAAAGTGGGAATTTGGCATGAAAATAGTCCTGTTTCTCAGCAGATGAAACTCATTTGCTCTGATAAGTAGAGAAACTGTAAAATGCTACTCTGCTTCATACGCAGATTTGAGTGACACCCACACTTTTGCTTCTGCAGATGACACAAAGATTATCTTCTGTAGAGAGTCCCAGCCATTAGTAGAGCTCTAGGCTACCAGGCCCTTCCTTCAGTTTTTCTTTAAGATCTGCAGACTGGATTTTCATAGGGAGTTAACCAATACAGCTCTTTATTTTAGTGGGGCAAATCTGTTTTATATTAGTGAAGTTCTACTGTAGATCGTGAAGCTGCACCAGCTAGACCAGCTACCTTTTCTCCTTCTGTTTTGGCTAGCGATTGAAAAATACCCTTCTCATTCATACCTGAGCTTGGAGTCCAGTTCATGCTGAATCCTTGTTTATTTACCCCTGTTGCAATCAAAGTGCAGGGGTAAAATGCATCAGATAGACTTGTTTTCTATAAGCTTGAAGATCTAAGAATGTATTACAAACAACACAAATTCTGGGGAGGTGAGAGCAGTGTTTTCTGTGTGCTCTCAATTTTAAAGAGTTTCATTACAAAAAGTCTTTTGAAGGTTCCTAGCTGTAGAAAATGTGACATACCCATGCATACCATAAAGGATGTAGCATTTTCAGAAGGTCACTCAAGCATTCCTTTGGTAGAAATGGTACCGCGTTTGTTTCTCGTTTGCCTTGAAGCACCTTGTGATATGCTCTGACTGTCCTGTTACGCTGCCATGCGGTGATTTTTACGGTCGTGCACATTCGCAAATGGCTTAAGTGACTTGTAATTCTCTGTGGCAATTACACCAGACAAAGAGCCAGCCCATCTCTGTAATGCTGAGAATGCAAAGTCTGCTGGAGAAAAACTGATACAGAAATTAGACAGTATGCCAAACGGCAGCATGGTTCTGGCCCGTTTTTGAGAGCGCTTGTCATTCGGAAGCAGGCTGGGGCAGCAGCAGGAGCTGTCAGCCTGCAGCAGCCCAGTGGGACCGTCAGCGCTGCCGTGCGAGGGGCAGACAGGCCTTACCTGGCATGCCGGGGCCTGCTGCCCGGCCACAGTGCCCACTTAGGGTCAGCTCGCTCTCAGACACCGCTGCGAGGCTCTTTTTGCTGTCCTTAAACACCTGCGGCCACGAAGACTTGACAATAAATAATGTTTTATTTATAGATTTGGCTTGTTGCCCTAGACTTCTGTTATTCAAAACTCCTTGCTACTTACAGGGTCGTGTCCCTGGATTTTAACCACTGTGAAATGATTTTTGTCCAGAAATAACTTGTGTCCATCACAACAAGAGCATCAGTATACTTATGGATTGAAACATAGATTCTCTGCTGTGGTCTGTAAGCAGATGCCTGTTCCCAAGAGCTATCTCTCTTTATTCTGCAGGTCAGAATGAGGAATGCTGCCATATCAATATCATGATATTCGCATTGCTTTTAAGTTTCTTGATTGAAAAGCTCTATCTACTGCTTTGTCAGTCTTAATTGCCTTGTAGCAACTTTGAGAGATAGATGCAGGTTCTCAAACTGAGATTATAATAATTTCCACAGGGATTACAATTGCATGGCAAATAGCTGTAAACACCATAGCCTTCCATGTCACTAAGCAAGATGGGAGAGTCCAGACAGAGAGGAAGTAGGATTCTTTGAGCTCTGGTAATGTAAAAGTCTCTGTATGGAGAGGATAAAGATAAGTAACTCTGCAGAAAAGCAGTGGAGAACATGGATTTTTTTTTTTTTTTACAAAGCTATGATGGACTATATAAATAAAATTGAGAAGGTGTTGGCAGCAGTTTCTTAATTAGAACTTGTCAAGATTCTTTTTTTTTGAACAAAATCAAAATATCTTTATCACAAGAAAAGTAGAATTTGGGGTTCATCTGTGATGCTGTTGCTACGTAACGCTACTTCATGCAGGTGTAGCTAGCAGCATAGCCATGACTACAAATTCTGCCTGAGAAGCTGGTTAAATGTTGCATTAGTTAGCACATGCAGAATTCAGAGATGGATGTAGCCAAACCAGCTTTAATCTACCTATGAGTTGCAGTCCAGGGGCGTACTTGGTACCCTTCGCTATCCGAATGACACTGGACTTTTCTAGATAATGCAATCCAAACTTTACTAAAGAAGCAAACAAAAAAACAAAAAAAAAGTTTAATATGCTCCAAAGTTTTACATCATCTGTTTTCCCTGTGACTGGATGTCTTTTAAAAAGACCAGTTATGAGCACAGTTTGGGGATGGAGCTTGTCCCACTTCTTTTAGAAATAAATGAACAAGTTTCCCTCTGATCTGGCATGTGTGGAAAAAGGTTAAGTGGGTATCTTGTATGAACAAATTCTGTCTCTTTGCTCTTTGACTGTAGTAGTAAGGAATTACCACCCACAGGAAGGGAAGGAAGGCATTTCCCAGCTCCTCAGCCCAGTTTGTCAGCATGCATTGCCGGGATGACAGTGGATTTCCTGGGACTCTGTCTATAGCCAGCTGAGTGATAGCATTGTCATTGACATCATTGGGCTTTGGATTAGTCTCCTTCTCGTCCAGTCTCTTAAGACTTTTCTTCTGTTCTGACACAGCTACCATACCCCTGGGACTACTGAGAGTCACTATGGATTGTCAGTAGTACCCCTGCAAAGGCAAACCACAGGAGACTTGTCCAGCTGAGGACATACCTTTACAGAGAGTCCAGCTGTAGTCTCATTTTTTTTCACAAATGCACATTTTTCACCCTT